CAGATACTAACCTGTGATGTTGGCGCTGTGCTGCAGGTACCTCGAAGACGAAGCTGGAGCAACGGCGCTGCAGGTAAGTACCTCTGGCCTCCGCCCAATCTCTCTCTCTCTCTCTAGTGCTATCCTAGCTATGGCGCCCAGCGCTGGAGACTACAGCTACCTACTGCGCCCAGCGCTGAAGACTAAAGGCTAACGCTACTACTCACTCTGCAGCGCTCCCTCCAGAGTGCTGCTGCCGAATCCTGAAGAGTACTACTGCCTCCTGCCTACCCGTGAAGTGCATGGGAAGCTGTGTACTACCTCGGCCTGCCTCCTGACTGCCTGAAGGGCGAGCCAGGCTGAGGAGGCTGCTCTTGCCAATGCCGAAGTGTGCCAGGGGCTGGCGTTGCAGCGGCTGCTTGAGGCTGGTGTGGGAACAGGCTAAGAATAGCCTGTTCCCGAAACCCTGGTTCGGTGCCTGAGTTTCAGGGCCGGTCGTTTTGATGAACGACCGAAAATGGCCCTTCGTTTCAGGCTAAAAAGGCTGTTGCCATTTTTAGTCTGAAACGACACAGGGACTGTAGCCCCCTGTTTTCAGGCTTTCGGGCTGAACAGTCACGGGGCCTGTAGGCCCTGGTTTTCAGGCTTTAAGCCTGAATTTCAGGCTTTCAGCCTGAGGGACGCAGGGCCTGGAAAATGGCCCTCGTGTGCAGGCGCAGCATGTAACAACTGCCCTTTGCTGACTCAGACACGGACTGACTCCTAAGACCTACGAAGAGCCAGTTCCGGAGCTTCCGGAAGGTCGTAGACTTGACCTTTCGGGACTGTACCAGGTACGACCTATAGTACGCCTATGACCGCTAATCCTAAGGTCTACGGGTCACTCTCGCGACCGCACTATATACAGAGGACAAACAATGTCATACGACTTACAGGGAACAGGTCGCTGGTTCAAGCACACGGGTCAACGGGGTCTGTACATCGGTGAGAGAGGTCTAGGGATAGGGCCCTGGGTTCTGCATCTGTCGCCGTAATAGGTGAAAACCGTTTCAGAGAGAACTTGGGGTTTCTTTTTTCAAAAGCACACAGACTGTCTGTCTCTGTCTTTGTCCCTGTCTCTGTCTCTGTCTCTGTCTCTGACACACACACTCACACAACCCGTCGGTGCACTTCACATGCGTCGTTCCTGTATGTTTGTTTTTTCTCTAATGTGGCCCGATGGACCGTGGATCAGATACGAAACTGATTGGAACAGATACTACACTTGATCTTACCGAAAACGCCAAGAGAGAGAGAGAGAGAGAGTCGCAGGAGGAGGAAGCTTGGTTACATACCTGATTGAGATTGTTGTTGGCTGCGCTGATGACCGCTGGCTATCTCAACTCTGAATTTGTATGATATGAGTATTCATTGAAGTTTCCGAGCGGCACTGATTTGGTGTTCCATATCTGGTCTTGGTATGAATCTTCATGTGAGCTTTCATTGTGCATGTTGTGTGGAGAGGGAATCTGAGCGGATTGTTGCATAAGGATGATGAGCTCCTGTGGTTGCGTCCCCTTGTTCCTCTGCTGATGTTGCCAATTACAGTCCTTATAAACCGCTAGTACACGGCCCCAGCCTTGCTGAAAAGGAACTCGTCGCCTACAAGTTTTTCGCAAAAGACGGCACAGCCGCGCCGTCGATTAAAAAAATTGTTGGCCGGCGTCGCTTTTTCGATTCTGACAGGCGCCCTCGGTCGATAGGTGGATGTACTAGTAGTGCTTTAAAGCACCAGTACACCGCACATAGGTCCGCGGGTGTCAGCATGAAACCCGCACCACTTCGGTGGCCACCAATTTCTTTTTTCAACGGCGCCCCGGGCCATGCGGCACCTTCGAGTTGATCTTGTGGCGACAAAAAACTTTCTGCAAGCTGGGGCCGTGTACTAGCGGTTGAACAAATTTTGCTGGTTGTTATGTTCTCTTATCCTTGGGCAGGTAGTCAGGCAGTTGCTTTGGTGTTTTTTTTTTTTTTTTTTTTTTTTTTTTTATTTTTTTTCAATCCACTAACCTTCCTTTGTTGCTTTTTTATTTTTCTGTTTTTTAAGAATTTTTTTTTTTTTTTTTTTTTTTTTTTTTTTTTTTTTTTTAATCATTATTTTTGTGGTTAGCACAGAATTATTGATATTCAGTGTTGAGTCTGTTAACACAAGATTTGAATTTTCCATCTGCAGGAAGGTGACACAACAAGGACTCCAAGGAGAAGAAAGGGAGAATGGAGGGGCTAAGCGTCGATGGTCTGGACAGAGATAATATGCTCGACTTCCACGCTGCCTTTCAAGGAAGCGTATTTGAGAAGTATCACATCATTCCTGTCCAGGTAGCCTCTCTCGACACCACCTACCTCAGTGACCTGTGTGATAACTTTTATGATTTCCTACGCGGGACGGAAGGACGTGTGGATGGTATTCTGGATGACAATCTAGACTTCTTTGTGGATCGTCTCAACAGACACCAAGGAGACAGATCCGGCCGTGAAGCCTTTGTCAAGCGCTGCGGGACCTTCTTGGAAGAGTATGCGAAACACCTACCAGTAGTACCAGGAAATCGGCAGCTGATTGCCAGACATAGTGTGGTTCGGGAGCTTATGCCTCTCTACAAAGGAAAAAATATTCCCTTTAAATTCAAAAACGGCTTGCGGCACATACTCGTTCAGAAGTATTATACTTCGGAGGTGCAGAATTGTTTCTCTCGCTGGGGAGACGAATCGGATGTGAAACATGAAAATGACCAGGATATTGTGAAGAAGCTGTACAGCTACGGTAAAAAGACGTGGCAAGATAACTGTCACAGAGTAAAGCTACACCTGATTGATGTCGATCTCGTGGGAATGGATGGTCAGCTTTTCCCTCTGTGGATGTTGTTGGCAGAAGCGCGTGGCATGCCGGGAGACCCCATCGGAGTTCAGTCTTGGTCCGCTGACGTGAGGGATAGGCAAACAGGCGCTCTGATTGCAGATGCCGTCCGATTGAAGAGAACAACAGAGGATGTTGTGGGTGAAATTGATGGTTACAGGTCGATATACGGGATGAAACGGTATTCACCAGTTCGAAGTAGCTGATGTAGGACCCAGGTTTCGATCCCTAGTTCCCCAACTTACCTGTGTACAATATCTGTGACAACTTGAAGATTTGAACCTGCGACCTGTAGAACCGCCAGTGGTAAGTAGGTCTGTCGTAGGTCTTTAGGTAGCCAGGATTTGATCCATAGACCTGTAGAGTAGAAGTCCAGCTGCAGTCCTTCTAGAAGGTTGGCAAGTGGCCAAGTGGTGTGACTAAAGCAAGCCCATGTTGGAGACGAGGACAAGTGGCAAGGGCAAATAGTAGGACCCCAGTGCAACTGCACTG